TATTTTGAAACTGATATAATTTTGAAAGCATTATTGTTAGACCTTTGCATATTGATTTATACAATAATTGCTCAAATTTTTAAACCATATATTCTTCATAAGTTTAACTTATTAGACATCAAAAGCGGACAGTTTTGCTAGATTGCTATATTATTAGCAGCTGTTAAACACATATGTGAATAATAAGAGAAATAAAATATTTCATCTATCATTTAATCCTTTATCATTCTCAATAGCATTATCTTGAGTTATCCATTTATAATGGATATTCTCTAAATTTATTATAAAAAATACAATTTTCAAATATTATCATTGTTATTAAAAGGGTTTGAAATTTTGAGACCTAATTTTGTTATTGCAAAATTACTTAAAAAAAAATTAACATTTTTGAGATAAAAAGAAAACAAAAGTAAAATTAATGTAAAAAAATTGAAATTGATTCTATTTTCAAGCAGTTCAAAATTTTTTTAGTAATTTCATGATTTATTTTTAGACGAAAAAGTTCTATATCATTAATTAATTCAGAAAGAGGATAAAAAATATCGCTTAAAACCGTAGAATCTTAGTTAGAAAAAGTAATTTGATATTAAGCATAGATATTATCAAAAAAAAATAATTATACAATTTTTTAGTTAGATTTCAATGTTATTCTTAGATAAAAAGTATCTTATAGAGACACCCTTCAAGGTTATAGTTCCATAACCAATTAATGTAGAGATCCAAGAACAAGTAAATCCTGGTGAACTTAAAAGAATTAGGTAAACAAATATATATATATCTTTTAAAGCCCAATAGAACCAGAGGAGCATTATCAACAAATAGAAGAGCTATCGGAGATCTTAGATTAGGTGTAGGATATTGACGAACAAATATTTAAAGATATTCTGGAGATGTTGAGAAAAAAGAACATTCAAGATGTTTTAGGATCCCTAAGAAAATTAGAAAACTTGGCCCATATGAATGAGGAGGTGCGAAGAAAAATTCAGAGGGTAATTAATGTCCTTAGGAATCTGGAAGCACATGATTTTAATAAAAAAGATTATTTATAGGAAGATTAAGAAGCAGCAAGAAGGGAAATAACCACTAAAATAAAAAATGATAAGAACCTTAGGGACTTTTTAAAATTCTTAGTTCATATGACTGCTTTAGACGAGAAGTTTATCAGATGTGGGTCAAATGCTATATAAATATTAGTATAAATGAAGGAGGATTTGACGAACCAATCATGGTAAAATATAAGGATTAGAGATACTAGTTTAATAGGAGGAAATTTTGTAAAGTGCAATCTTAATGAATCAGAATTTGAAAATGTGGATTTGAGTGGTGTTAATTTGAATGGAGCACTATTATTTAATTGCAAATGGAAGAATATAAAAATCCATGAACTTAAAAAATTAGATGGTCATAGTAGTTATGTATCATCAGTATGCTTCTCACCTGATGGAACTACTTTAGCATCTGGTAGT